GTTCACCTGATAGCATATAAGGATTCCTTAACAGTAACTTAGTTGAGTCTTCTTTATACAACTTGAATATGAGCAAACAAAATTTACTCTTTTTTCCTGGACTAAAGTTCAATTTGCTTTTTTTTTTTTAATCCTCACTAAGGATACATTTTTACTGATTCCATAGAGAGAGGAAGGGAGAGAAAGAGAGAGACAGAGAGAGAGAGAAAGAGAGAGCAAGAAACATCAAATGATTGGTTGCCTCCTGCACATGCCCCAACCAGGGATTCCAGGGATCCAACACACAACCTAGGTATGTGACCTGACTGGGAATCGAACCCACAACCTTTTGGTGTATGAGATGATGCTCCAACCACCTGAGCCACCTGGCCAGGTCTATTTTGCATTTTTTAAAATACAGACATGGTTTGATTACAATCTACAAAATAATAAAAGATGTATTTGGGGGTGTGTGGGAGAGAACTAGGAAAAGCAAGTGTGTGTTTAAGTTATATTAGAGAGTAATCTTTTTCTAAACAACACTGTTAGAATGAAAAGCCGGAAGGTTATTTTGTGAACTGGATTTCAAAGCTACATGGAAGGACTTGTATTTCAGATTGAGGATGTCTCAAGAATTCTTCCAGGTTCAATGAAATAATGACACAGGCAAAGCACTGTGGTTACAGAATCATTAGTCCTTTTGGAAAAATATACTTTTTGGTCAGAACAATAAGAAGTGACAAGTGACTGATCAAGTAGAAGTTTGTGTAGGCTTTTGCTGTATTCTTTTCCCTAAAGAAGCTGGTTGGATGAGCATATTTTATCAGATGAAAGCAAAGTGAACCTAATTCAAGAAATCTAGGCCCCATTTTTCAAAGGGTTATTTTGTTTAGTTTTTTTTTTAAACTAAATGAGATTCTTGTGAAGGACAAAATATTAAGGACAAATAACAGATTTGTGATTTCCATTGAAGGATAATATATCCAAAAAGAAAGAGAGAGAGAGAGAGAGAGAGAGAGAGAGAGAGAGGAAGGAAGGAAGGAAGGAAGGAAGGAAGGAAGGAAGGGGAGAGGGTCTTGTCTGCCTATAGGCCATAGAGTCCCAGGTTCGGTTCCGGTCAAGGGCACATGCCTGGGTTGTGGGCTTGATCCCCAAGGGGTGGGGGCGGGGGCGTGCAGGAGGCAGCCAATCAATGATTCTCTTTCATCATTGATGTTTCTATCTCTCTCTCCCTCTCCCTTCTTCTTTGAAATCAATAAAAATATACTTAAAAAAAAACTAAAATTGATTCTGAACTAGTAGACATGTATGTGAGTTGTTGCCAGCACAAACGAAAGGGGAGAGAAAAGTCTGGACTGATTTAGTCATGTTTCACCCTGAGGAAGAGCCCCGCTGATCTAGTCCGTAAATGTGTTGCTGAGGCGAGCTTCCAAAATGGGTGGGAAAGAGAAAATAAAATGTATCTAAGTTTTGAAAATAAAGTATATCCAAGTAACTTGGAAGTGAATGTTTTCCTCCCTTTTAAGGTAATATGGAAGAATTGTTTTGGCTTTTGCATGACATCCTGTGGAAGCCTGATGAAAACACTGGGAGATAACAGATTGTTCTCTTTTAAAAATATGCCAGGGGAAGAGAAAGCCTTTACTTAAATGTTCCTTGCCTTTCAGGGGATATGCTGCCTCCATCCATGCGTTGATAGCATTTAATTCAATTCTGGGAAAAGCATCTTGCTTTCTTTTTAAGTATTGTAATGCTTGACCAAATTGTCTGCAAAAATTACCTGCATCAAAATTAACCTTTCCAATTTTGCAGATTTGGTCATCCAATTCAACAATGTAAATGGTTTGATGGCCTTTGTTATTATTTTTTGTAAAAGGCAATGAATAATGAGCTCCCAGGGTGTCATTGGGGCTTATTCACACTTGCTAATGATTAACTACCCAAGACTCTTGAACTGCAGAGCCAGTTTTAAAGGCCCCATATACAACTTCGTCCTATTTTAGATTCCTGCTATGGAGAGGGGGCATAGAGTATTTGCAAAAATCCTCTCTAACTCAAACCAGACCAAAGTTAAAATGTACAATAATTGGGGATTGGTACATAAATTACATCTATAGTTACAATTCACTATATTTAGTAATTAAAAATTTCCTGCCTTGCAAGAAATGTTAAAAGAAGTTCTTCAGAGAGGAGAAAATGAGGTAGGCCAGAAACTCAGATCTACTTAAAGGAAGAGCACAGAAGAAGAAATAAGTGAAGGTAAAATAAAATGACGGTAAATAAAATGGCCCCCTGTACCAGTCAATGACTGGACACTTACCTTCACTAACTTCACTTCAAGTGGCACACACCCTCTCTCTCTCAGTTCTTGTACAAAAAAAAGTAGAAGATGAAAAAAATAGTCTGCTTACCATGTACAGTATCCCATTCCCTTCCCCATTCTCTTCCTCCAAAGGTAGCCATTGCTAATATTTCCTTGAGTATCATTTTAAAAAATATAGGCATAAAAATTTTTACACAAAAGGGATAATACTATAGTTTTCTGTACCTTGCTTAAAAATGTAGCCCTAATCAACATAGTATATTATTAACCTTCCCATACCAGCTCAATCCAATTTACTTAATTGTTATTACAATTTTTATAATTTTTAAAAAACCGTTTTTGTTTATTTGGATTCCTTTGCCCAACTTTTTTTAAAACAGAATTCTTTCCGATGGTTTTTATGAGCTCTTCATATATTAGGTACATTGGTCTGATGGTGCCTGCCAGGTGCTGCAAGTACTTTGCTTTTGAAAATTTTGTGGGATTTTCCCTCAAACACAGTTAAAAAAAAAAACCACAACAAAACAAAAACAAAATGCTTATAAACATTTACATATTTTATTCTTTCTCAATTTTGTGTCCTGATTGGAAAGGTCTTCTCCATTCCAAGATCATATTCATGCCCCCACGCTACTGACTTTTTGGACAGGATAATTTCTTGTGGACGTCTGTGCTGTGTGTAGTAGCGTGTTCAGCAGCATCCCTGGCCTCTATCCTCCAGAGGCCAGTGGCTTCCCCTCCTCTCTAGTGATGACCAAATGTCTCCAAACAATGTCAAATGTCCCTGGGAGGCCAACTCGCCACATACACACCCTCTGGAGAATCACTGTTCTAGAACATATTTAGTGTATTTTAAGTCACTTTAATATTTCAATCTTTAACTCAATGAATTTTATTTTTGTTAAAGGAGACAGAGATCCAGCTTCATTTTCAACTAAAAGCAGTCAATTATCCAATTCATTTATCCCTGATCTGAAAAGTCACCTTTGCCAAAATCTCCATCTCTCTCTTTATTCTAATGTCTCATTGTTCTTTGTTTCCTTTTTATTCTCAGTACAAAACTTTTACATTGTAATTATTATCAACTTCAAAACACACTTTAATGTTTGGAGGGGCTTTCCCTATCCTCCCCCACCGTACTTCTCTTTTAGAATTTCCCCAGCTATTGTGAGATCTTTAATTTTTATGAACTGTGGCCATTACAAAAAAAAATCCTGTTGGTATTTTAATGGAAATTGCTTTGAATTTAAAGATTGATTGGGGGAAAATAAACATCCTTCTCCTTTCACTACTAAATCTTGCTAAAAACAATGTTATAGTTTTTATTTTACTTAAGTCTTCCTTCATGTCTCTCCGTAGAATTTTAAAGTTTTCCTCATAAAACTTGCACCTATTTCTTGTTAATTTCATTCCTGGATATTTCGTCATTTTGTTGCCATTATAAATGGGTCCTTTATAGCTTTGGGAAGATAAATGGACACATGTGAATGGATTAACTACATTCATGGAAGTAGGAGAAAGGGAATAAGTTAACATCTGGTATGATATCTGAAAGTCTTTTTAGTGGGAGTCACAGGAAAATAAACAAGTTAATAGTCAAATAGCAAAATACTGTAACTTAAAGTGTGGTGTTACGGAAGAAATAAAGAAAGGGTTGAGCTAGATCTGTGGTTCTCAAGCAGAGATGATCCTCACCCCACCCACACCAACCCCACCCCAGCCCATTTCCATCCCCTCTGGAGGACCTCTGGCAATGCCTAGGCTGTTTTTTTGTTTGTCACAACTTGGGGAATGGGTGTTACTGACAAGTATTGGTGTGCTGCCCAGATTTCAAGATCCCCACAGACCAACAGGGAGCCAGCCATGTTCGATGCAAAAGCAAAGGATCCTTTATTATTAGTACAGACCCGAAGAAATAAAGAAAGGGTTGAGCTAGATCTGTGGTTCTCAAGCAGAGATGATCCTCACCCCACCCACACCGACCCCACCCCAGCCCATTTCCATCCCCTCTGGAGGACCTCTGGCAATGCCTGGGCTGTTTTTTTGTTTGTCACAACTTGGGGGATGGGTGTTACTGACAAGTATTGGTTAGGGCCAGGATGCTGCTAAACATTCTACAATACACAACCAAGATTATCCAGCTCCAATTGTTAATAGGACTGTGGTTGAGACCCTGAGGTGGACGGTAGCATTGAGGATACCTAAATTTAGGTCAGGATATCACAGACTCCTGGGACCATCCCAGGCCCAGTCGACTTGAAAAGAGCAAGAAAGAAGACATCCCTTACATTTGTGTGTAGTATACATATGCACATTTGGAGAGTGGAGAGGAATTACGGTCTTTCACATTTAACTTTGTGTACTTGTTTCTTGCTTGAATTTTTTTAGCACTTTTTTTTTTAATTAAAAAATGAGAAAAGAACACAAAGCACAAAAAGCTAGTAGGTTGGAAGAGAGTCTTTTGTAAAACTACTGGCAGATTTCAAAGAAGAGATTTGAAGCAATCGCCACACATGATCAGTAGGCCCTGATATCATCATCTGTGCTTAAAATCTGTTTTATATACTGCCTTCCACATCTATTGGATCTTCCAAGAAAGAGTGACAGAGAACACCTGACTTAAAGCCGGGCAATTTATGCCCCTTACTTGGTTTTATACCTTTTAGCTTTGTTATATTTGGGTGTTAAGTTATATTGACTCTAGAGAAAAATAATAACATACTTCACTGTACTATTAAGTAAGGCCACCTAAGTGTTTCATAAACCGTAAAGCACACTACAGATGTATGATGAGGCCAAAAGAGGGCAAAGGCTGTACTCTTTACTCTGTCCCCTTGAGTCCAAGCCTCCAGGCAAAGGAAGAGGAGGACTGGGCTATAGAGGAAAAAGGATGGGAAGAGAAGTGCAGGCTAGGAGAAAAGTGATTACCTACTAAAGTAGTCTTACGAGTTACATTATTCATGTAATTAAGAGATGAAGATAATCCTGATGGGGTCGATAAAAATCATAAGAGGGTTTTAGCCCCGCACCAGGCCCTTGAAAAGACTATGGTCAGCTTTCTTTAGGTAGTCCCAGATCCCACACCTGAGATGTGAAGAGATGACTATAAAATCCTTGTGCGAGCCCAGCAGTCTACATATACGTTTTTAAAAAATATCTGTCCCCCAGAGATTAGAAGCAAAAGGGATGGATGCAAGACTGAGTGAGTCATCATCCCTCCACCTAGGACAGGGCCCGATGGAATTCTTGCTTGATCAATGGTTGTTGAGTAGATTAATGCAATACATTCTGCAATTACTTCCTGGACCTGGCATCAAAATAACTGGATGTATTGATACATTTTTCTGGCTTTTGTGCCTTTGAAGGGTTTGCAGGCTGTGAAAAATAACTTTAACAACTTTGTTTCTTTTCTTGGCCTTGAGACAGCTTGAGAAGATAAGACACCCATTGGAACGAGGTGTGCCTGGAGGGAAAAAAATAATAGTGAAAAACGTTTATCAGCAGCCTTCTTGAGCACCAGTTTTCCAACTTAATTAACATTCATATGAACTCAGCAAATAATATGTAGCACATGTAAATCCATATACTTTTATTAATTAAAAAAAATTTAGCACTGGAAAAAATCCTGTCATTGGATCAGTTTTACAGAGAGGCGCTAGGTGGGCACTAGAATTGACAGAGCCAGAACTAAAACTTGCTTTTCCACGTTGGGAAAAGCAAATACCGTTAACAAAAAATATCCTACGCAATTGCTGATTTTTCTTGCCTGTGTTATGCAGACTCCAGGCACTTCTCAGAACGAACCAACGTTTCAAAGCCCCAAACAAGTTTGGGAACGAGCCTTGGGGGTGGGGACCTCTACCAGGGGAGCGCTCACCCCGACAGGTGCCCGGGTTCCTCTTCGGACCGTCTCACCAGCTTTAATAATCGCTTTGATATTATGCGCTCCAGCAAAAGGCGAGCGTTGGCCGGATCAAGCCGGACCTCCAGCGAGAGCGTTTCAAGTTCCACTATTTCCTCTTCGCTATTTGAAAGAAATCATGTGCGCCCCTCCCCCTGCCCCTAAAGTTTGTCTTCTAGCCATCAACTCGCTTCCTCTCTCGGTTTCCAACTCAGTTGCCAGAGCATCGCCGTCATTAGCCAAGTTCATTTAGACGAGAAGGTGCCTTTGTGTACAGAATGAGAGCCATCGCGTGGCCAAGGATAACCACGCGGAAGAAGGAAACCTTTTTTGTCGCGAGCTGCTGCCAGCGGCCAGGAGGCGTGTTTTGTCGAGTGGCCGAGGCCGCGGTCGAAGTTGGCAAACAAAGCGTCT